CCTTCTTCTTCTTTTTCTTCTTCTTCCTGGCAGACCAATACTTAAAAAAAACAACAACAAAAGTACAGTAAACTGTTGTGAACAAAACTAACTTGTGTTTCGCGCGCTCATATGACCTTATGCAGTTTCGAGCGCCGTAAAACCCTGTACTAAATAAAACAAAAAAACAACAACATGTAACTTCTCAACTCTTTAGGGAGCATACAACACCGCTGCCTGTTAGGCGCTGAACACTAGCATTGTGACAAGATGTTTCACTGCCTATAGCGATGTACTCTTTTCACACCTGAGTCGAGTGAGGTAAGCAGAGTAAAGTGCTTCACCTAAGGATTGTAACACGCTGATCGTAGATTCTCCAAGGAGATAGGTTAGGTAAGGAATTAATACCTTGTACTGAACAATGGGCTTACGACAGTAAAGGGATGTTTTATTTGTGTTTGTTTTAGTAAGGTTTTACGGCGCTCGCAACTGCAGAAATGAGCGCCAAGGGGTGGATGTCAACAGAGAAGTCCAAACGGGGAATCAGACTTACTCTGCTCACCTTACTAGCCTCAACAGCACAAAGTCTACTTCGACTCTCAAGGCACCCCGGAAATAGTTCACAAGAGAGTGACAATCAAACATACAAAAGAAGTAGAGGAAAAATGACGATAGTAGGGATGAGGAAGAAAAAGCAGCAGTTCCCCCTATGTTGTTCCGGCACAGTATGGGTATGACATTGAAAAATCAGCCCATTTACAATTCTATTAAGCACAAGAACATGTTAATATCCCCCCTCTTTGGGAATGGCCTAAAGAACGTCAGTCAGTAGCACTGCCCTGGTGAGGGAGGAGTACACGCAAAAATATTCTTAGGTAGGCTAAGGCCAAAGATTCTCTACTACCAAGATGTTTCAATTGCCATATTTCTTTGTGTGTGTGTGTGTGTGTTTGTGTGTGTGTGTATGTGTGTGCGTGTGTGTGTTTGTGTATGTTTGTGCGCGCGTGTGTGTCTGTGTTTTGGGTGTGTGTATGTGCAAGTGTATGTATGAGTGTGTCTGTGTGTAGTTTGTAAGTGTGTAGGTGTAAGTGTGGAGTGTGTGTGTGCGTGGTTTTGTGTGTGTGTGTGTGG